TATATCTAACAACAAAGTCCTAAAAGACATGAAGCAAAACTAACAGAATTGAAGAGAATCAGAGGGAAACTATTGGACTTAATACCCCACTTTCAATAACAAATAGAACAACTAGATAGAAGATAAGCAATGGAATAGAAGATTTGAAAAACATTATATACCAACTAAATCTAACAGACTTCTTTAGAAGATGAGCTTCTTGGATGTGTAGATTCATTTTTTTTTACCTAATTTGGGAAGTTGTCAGCCATTATTTCTTCAAATAGTCTTTCTGCCTTGTTCCTCTTTTTTCTTATTCTAGAAATCCCATAATGCATATGTTGATATACTTGATGGTGTTCACCAAGGTCTCTGAGGCTCTTTTCATTTTTCTTCATTATTTTTTCTTTCTCTTCCTCACATTGGATAATCTCAATGGACTTTAAATTGCTGACTTTTTTTCTTCTGTTTGTGCTGATGAGCTGCTCTAGTGAAGTTTTAATTTTTGTTATTACACTTTTCAATTCCAAAATTTATATTTGGTTCTTTTAAATATATTTTTTCTTCATTAGTATTCTCTATTTGTTGAGATACCATACTCATACTTTCCTTTAGTGCTTTAGACATGGTTTCCAAAGATATTTGAGCATATTTAAAATACCTGATTTAGGGCACCTGGGTAGCTCAGTCGGTAGCATCTGCCTTGAGCTCAGGTCATGATCTCAGGGTGCTGGGATTGAACATCTCATGGGACTCCCTGTTCACAGGGAGCCTCTCGTCCCTATTCAAGCTCTCTCTCGCTATCTCTCTCTCTCTCTCAAATAAATAAAATCTTTTAAATAAAATACCTGATTTAAAGTCTTTGTCTAGACAAAGTCTAGGCTGGGCTTAGTCCAATGTCTGGGCTTCCTCAAGGACAGCTTCTGTTGATTGCTTTATTTCTTTATATGGGTCATACTTTCTTGTTTCTTTGCATACCTCATTTTTTTTTGGACCTGGACATTTAAAATAATATAACATGGCAATTCTAGGAATCAGATTCTTCCCCCTCCCCAGGGTTTTTTTGTTCTTTCTGTTTATTGTTGTTTAGTGACTTTTTAAAAATAATTCTGTATAAAAATAAAATCTGTATTGTCATGTGGAGCCACCAAAGTCTCTCTTCAGTTAGTTTAGTGGTCAGCTAATGATTGGACAGAGAATCCCTTAAACACTTTGAACCAGTAAGTCTCTCAGTCTTTGCTGAGGGATTCTGTGTGTATGTGTTGGGGTTCACTTTCAGCACTTAGCCAGGCAATTGACAACTGTGCCTTAGCCTTCAACCCGCTTGTATGACCTCACGGTAAGAGACTGGGGCCTTTTCAGGTCTTCTCTGAGCATGCATACAGTCCTGCATATGCATATGGTCTAGATCCTAAGAATGTGTTGTTTTCAGAGTCCCCACCAAAAACTCATTCCCCATCTCTTCATCTAAGCTTTCCCATTAGCCTATTATTTGCCCCAATTGATATGCACATTCTCAGGCAGCCCAAACAAACGCTTCTAATTGTTTACAGCAAACACTCCTGGGGAGAAGGCTTTTCACAGGTGGTAAACTCTAAGCATCAATTCCTCATGAGTTTGCGCTCCAGGTCAGGTCAAATAAAGGCAGCCTTGCAAGTGGAGTCTTCCAGTTGCCACTGGATGGGTCAAATGATTATTTTCTGGGAATGAGGCTTTGAAAGAGTTCCAACCCCATTTCATCCCCGCGATGACTGCCAGAATATTGGTTTTCAAGGCTACCACGGAGCTGGAGGAGAAATGGGAATAGGGCAAGTTAAAATGCCACAAAGTTCATTGTTTTTAACCTCATTTGGCTATTTTTCTGGAATAAACATTCCCTAGACTGCTGCAAGCCCTTTGTTAATTTACAGAGTTCTGAAAAAGTTGATTCTGACAATTTTTGCCAGTTTTCTCATTCCTTTTATGGAAAGAACTTTTGGAGGTCCTTATGCCATCATTTTTGCTGTCACTCCTAACCAATTTAATGACCCTTTGTCTTTAGCCATTCTTTCTGGTAATCCCCATCTTAGAGGGGAAACAAAAGCACAGATATATTAGAGCACATCCAAGCAGTAATGAATCCTGGTGCACAAATTAATGAAAGAGATGGGGGGCCTGGGTGGCTCAGTCCACTAAGCGTCTGCCTTCAGCTCAGGTCATGATCCTGGGGTCCTGGGATTGAGCCCCCACATGGGGCTCCCTGCTCAGCAGGGAGTCTGCTTCTCCCTCTCCATCTGCCCCTCCCCCCATTTGTGCTCTCTCTCTCAAAATAAATAAAACCTTTAAAAAAAAGGAGAGAGAGAGAGAGGAAAGCAACTTTAGGAGACACTGCTAGGTGATTTGTGAGCTTTTTCACTTGCTATTAGCCCTTAAGCCTAACATATATACTGAAAATCTTTGGTCCCCAGTTTCTTTGCCCAGGTCCCAAGTATACCTGAATGAATCTCTTCTCCAGTTCATGGGTTATCTCACAGGCTCATTTTTATGTTTTCCAGAAACCCCTTCACCAGCTTCTACTCACAGCCTATCTTACAGGTAAGTAATTATGCTTCCTTTCACTGGGGATCTGTTCACACTGACACTCTGCCAGCACCCTGGGGTTACTTTTCTACTGGCTTGTACCAGTGAAGTTTATAAATCTACCTTGTAAACAAAAGAGCATTTAATAGTACTGTGTCTTATATATGTCCAGATTACTTTCAGTCGCAAGCAGGGTATTTATTTCCTGTCTTGTCCAAATATATAGGCTCTCCCCTTCTATATGCTTTTTACCTTTACCTTCCTTTTCTCTGCTGATGTTCTATTTCCCCTCCGTAGGCCTTCACCTGCCTCTTCTGGACAGGGGATTTTTTCTTTCAGACCATCCCTAAATGGTGGGGATTCATGCCACACAAGAGCCCTCACCCCCAACAATTCAGGTATGTTAAATAACATTCCCGAAGGAATGGAGCTTCAACCATTGGCATATATACTAAAATGAAGATTTTCAAGGTGAAACGATGTTAGGAAAAGAATGGACTTTATAACCTACCTCTTAAATTGCTTAGCCAAGTCTTTTTCCTTCTGAGTAGTGTTCTACAGATTAAGACCTACCTATTTACCCTGACCCATAAGTAACACTGCCAAAGAACTGCCCAAGGGAGTTAACTTTCACCATTCCAATTCTATCCTCCAGGTCAGAGGGAAAGCAGAACCCCACTAGAGAGTCTTTCTGGTTTCCAGCTACCAGTCCAGCAGGTGAGCCCTGGCTAATCTAATTTGCCTGCATGTGAAAAATTCACATGGTTAGGCCTGCACAGAATGCCTTTTTGGTCACCTGTTAAGGTGGTGGAATATAACCAGTGGAGAATGACAAGGGTTTCAAATGTGGTAATCATATGTTCACAATCTTCCAGGATGGTCTCAATTTCAAAGATTCTATCCTACTATCAGATTAGCTTCCTAGTTTGGGGTTTAAAAATTAGGTCACATGGTAGTGAATGGATTTAAACTGAGAGGTCCTGGCCAATGTGAACTAAGTGTGTAGACACAACTAACATTCCCAAAAGTTCCACAAAAAAGTATTTCAATGGAATATATCTTTTGGGCAGAGGTACTGCTTGAACAGGGAAGAACCACGTGCATGTCTCTAGAGATGGTTAGAATAATGCTTTATAAATTTATGGGATTGATATAACGTAGGCAACAAGAGGAAAAGGGCATTGGAACGAGAAGAGAGGTTTGTAAGAAGCTCTACATGAAAATTCCAGTCTTGCCTTTTAAGTTAACTTTTATGGCCCAGGTTTTGAGGATATTTAGGCCCTTTTTCAATGCCACGCTCCTGGTGACCCCAAGGACATCCTAAGGTAGGTAAATATTTTGCTCTCATATTCCAAATGCCCTTTATTTTCATTGGCAAAAAATTAGGATCTAAGCCCTAAGAGGCACCACTGGGGAAATAACATCCCTGAGATCCTCACAAATGGAGGGATTAACCTACAGATGAAAAAAGAATTGAGACATATAAACCATCTACAAATATATGGCCCCTAATTGGATCCTGATTGAAACAAACTGTAAAAAAACGAAAACAAAAACATTTATAAGAAAGTTGAAAACTGAATACCTCTTGGATATTTGATATTAAGGAATTGTTAATAGTTTTCTTTTGTAGGCATAATGGTTATTATGATTACGTTTTTAAAAATAGTCTTTTTTTAGAGATAACATACTAAAATGTTTAAAGATAGGAAGTTAAATGATTGTCCGGGTTTTGCTTTAGTATAATCTAGTGAACATAGGACAGAGAGAGTAGAAATGAAAAAAAATTGGCTAAGAGTTATTTGTTGAAGTTGGGTGATGGATACTCATCAGCTCATTATACTACTCTACTTTCGTATTTTTTGAAAATTTCAATAATAAAGTTTTAAAAAAAGTTATTAAACAAGTACAACCTCCCCAGAGGCATAAGAATCCTGCCTCGCTGGTAATCGTCTATCGGCATAGTCTCCAGGTCTCCAGTCTCCTCCCCAGGTCTTCCAAAATAGTTTTGTTTAAATATTCTGGCCTTATTACCATAAGCCACTAAAATGTTCTAGAGAGTTTCATAATTAGCAACAAAGCCTTTGTCACACTAGGTGTATCAAATCTTAGTTTGGAAAAGTTAGTTATCACACAATGGAGAAAACTGGGGCAGCAGCACTGGTGATGTGCCATCTTGATAAACTTCATGTAATGGTTTGAGAGGGCCTTAATTACCCTTTTTGTTATAAATGCCCATATCTGCCTTCCTGCCCTCCGCTGCAGACTCTCTACGAACAGAGACAGATGGGATTAGCCAGGTCAAGAGAAGCATGGACTATTTCCAGATAGATCGTCTTCAAGGTCTGATCTATACATATTGCTTAAGGAAGACCTGTAGCACACAGCATCACATTAAGTGTGATGGCCTTGGAAAATGTTTCCCTGCCTTGTTTCCTGGTTTCACTGTGTACCCTTACTTCTCTTGACCTTTACCATATACACTCTGTATTACCTCCTAGGAAAATGGTCAGGTGTTATATAAGGCTAGTACTTCAGGAGGATGTTTAGATCTCTCCCACACTCATGTAACTCTCTCATTTCCTGCAACTTAAAGGTTGTAAAAACAATTCTTGGCATCACTGGGGGTGAGAGGTAATATACTCATTAAGTATGGTTTATTTCTATATTTCATTCTTTTAGCATTGGATATATTCTTCCATTGCCAGTGTTAATAAGCAACAACTCTGTTCCGTGTCCTAATTTATTATACTTCTGTTTGCCTATTGTTTCCTCTATTCCTAGTTAACTATGTTGACTTTCCTTTCTGTCAGAGACCCAGACTTTCAGCTTACTATATAGATAAAATAAAGATGTCCTTTTATTGTTATTGCATTGGTTTTATATTCTAAGCTCTCGAATGGTGGAATGGGCAAAGACCACCACCAACATGAAACCTGTATTCTTCTTCGGGTACTAAATAGAAATGAGAAGTTAAGTGGGTCAGCCACAGGCAGGCAGGCCATAAGCAAAAATATTGAAAAAGTGTAAAGACAGCAAACATCTGCCAGAAATAAATTAGGTCCTGGGAATGACCCTGAAGCTGAACTAGGATTCCCTACTCTTTCTGGAATTCTGAATTTATTTTTAAAGGCATTTCTAGACACCTCTTCTGGGCAAGAGCCTGTGCTGTAGCAGGTACAGGAAAAATATCTGCCCAGTGATAGATACAGATGTACTGCCTTTTAAAGTTTTTGTTCTTTTAAATTTTTTTTAAAGATATATTTATTTATTTTAGAGAATGCGCACGCATGCGAGTGGGGGAAGGGACAGAGGGAGAGAATCCTCACACAGAGGCCCCACTGAGTGTGGAGCCTGATCTCATGACCCATGAGATTATAACCTGAGCCAAAACCATGAGTCGGGTGCTTAACCGCCTGAGCCACCCAGGTGCCCCAAGTATTTGTTTTCCTAATCTACCTCAATATATCCTGGTGCTTTAAAAAAAAAAAAAAAGTATACTAAATCAGAATGTTAATGGATTTGGCTCCATTAATCTCTAAACCACAGAAATGGCAAAGTGGAGGAGAGAGAAACAATTTTATTTGTGGCCTTTTATTATTATTCTAGCAATCTGGGGCTTCCATTCTTATTTCTAGATGGTTAACCCATTGATATCTTTATATCTGACTCCATCTGATGAAAACCATTCTAAAACATCAATAATCAATTCAGTTAAAGACCAGGGTCCCTCTGTCCCCAAGACAGATCCTATAAAGAGAGGAAAAAGTCTCAATTACAGACAAATTGAACCAACACCAAAAAGATGAAAAATTAGTCTCTGTCAAGCTAGGCAGGAGGGAGTTTCAGGTTTGTAAAACCAAACCTGGAACCTACCTGCACCCATCTTCTGAAGAGTAGAAACCATCCCTCTCCAACCTAATTCTACTTTTTTAAAGGACATTTCCCCTAATTCCCACATCCAATAAATATCCAGTCTAAATTATTCTCCACCCAATTATTAAACTTTTCACAAGCTCCATGGGGAAGATTTACCCTGAGACAAATAGTGAACAGAATGGGGATTTTGGAAAAAGATTAAAAAAAAAAAAAAAGTACAAGGCAAAATGGTCCCAGTATCAGAAATGAAAACATTCTGCTACCTGTGCAACTCTGTAACGAGGAAGGTAAAACATAGTCTAAGTTGGTGTGCGTTAAGGAAAGATTTGTGATGAGACTGGGACATACAAAGACTCTTAGCTGTATTATGCATGGACTCGTGCTCATAAAGAAAAGGGGTGTGAGGCAGCCTTACATTCCAGGGAAAATGGTGGGACTGGGGATGCACTGGAATCATCAATTGAATCAAAATTCTTTACTCCTCCTTTTCAGTCCTCTTATAGATGTGGGGCCAAGGTCTGGGCTCTCCATAGTACACTAAGGGAAAAGAACAGCAGACACGAAGAGAGCAAAAGCCTTTTCCCAACCCATGGTTTGGACCAGATCCTTAGCACTCTCTTCATTGAGACGAGAGGCCTGATTTCTGCTCATCCAATCCCCACCTCTCTTTGGGTCCTATGGTCATCCTCCCTGGTCCACCCTCACTACATCCCGGATTCCCCAACCTCAAGAACACGAAGCTTTTCAGTTCTTTGCCACAAGGTAATTTTAAAAAAATGTGGTTTCTTTGTTTAAACAGTTACTAAGTTGGTTCATCTTTTAGTAACAGACCTTCCCTCCCCTAGTCCCCCCGACTCAGTCCTGTATGATCACATCATCATCGTCATCCTCGTCTTCCTCCTCCTCCTCCTCCTCTTCATCCTCGTCATCTTCTGGCAGTTCTTCCTCCTCCTCTTCCTCCTCTTCATCTAGACAAACCACCACTTCAGCTGGCTCAGGTAATCGAGAGTCAAACCAATCCAGTACCTGCTGGGTGCTAAGCCTTGATGCCTGACTCAGTTGAGGGATATCACTTTCCTGTAGCTGTTGATGGGCTGCCCAGTACCTCTCCAAGGGTCGTATATCCGGTGGGGGTGGGGGGTTCGGCAGAGGTGGTGTCTCAGCCCATTCACTCAAGGAGCGGGTTGAAGGTGGGGGTGTGGGAATTGCTGGGTCCTGGAAACTAGGGGCACCAGGTACTGCATTGTCCCGAAACCATTTTAGTTGCCCATGCTTCAAGGCATAGCGTGTGTCACCAAACCACTGAATGATCTCAGGTCGAGGTAAGCCAGTGATCTGTTCTAATTTATGGTAATCCTCACGCCGTGCCCATTGGCACTGTAAAAAAAAAGATTTGAGGATAGCCAGCTGCTCTTTGGTTTTGCGCTTGGTCTTTCGCTGGCGTTGCATATCTGGGGAAAGGTACTCTGCAGGGCCAACCCTACCTGATACTGAGTTATGTCTTAGCCCTTGGGGCCAGGCTGGCTCCAGATGTGGGGGCAGTGCCTGTTCATTGGGTGACAGCGGCTGTGAGATACAGCCCAGTGACTGGAGGGGTTTAGAGGTGGCAGTAGCTCCGTTAGCCAGTACCGGGAAAGTGGAAGAAGAGGTAGAGGAAGAAGGAGGAGTCATATTAGATGCTGACTCCTGCTTACAACTACTAGCAAGTAGTGAGACTGGTGGGGGCTTATCCCGAGCATGTGGCTGGTGGACAGCTGTGGAGTGATTCCATGAAGCAGAACCTAGGCCATGTGACTGGTTGGGACCCCTGCCTGCCTGCTCCTTAGAGAAGCCACTGCTTTGAAGATTCTGCCAATAATCGGATTGGTGGGGGAATGTCCCACTGCCAGGTGCCATCAGGGGTTCCTTTGCTTTCTGGTGACTCAGCAGCTCTGAGGACTCCTCAGGCTCCACCTTCAATCCTTTCATCTGGGTGGGCTCACTAAGAGTCAGGGGCACTATTCCAAGACCCACTTGTTCTGGAGGTGGCATCGGAGAAGGAGGCACCTCCTCTGGGGGCCGCCCTGCATGATGAGTAAAAGAGAGAAGGGATTTGAAATGGAGCTGGTCCCGATGGTAGACCACTCGGGCTCGAGTCTCTTCTATTTCTTCAGATGACCAGCTAATGCCACAGCGGAGGCGCTGGGCCATGAACCAAGTCTTGACTTTCTCCATCTGCAGCCCATAGCGTAAGCAGAGAAGGGCAATGTCTGCTAGACTGGGATAGGGAAAGTAGCTGAAGGTTTGTAGCAAGTGTTCATTGCCA